GCAACCGTGTGATCTCCCTCACACCTTCTTCTCCCTCACAACGCTCACCTTCTCCTCCTCTCTCAAAACCCTAAAGAACTTTTCAAGAGCTCTCTCCCTTGGAATCCCTCTCTAACCATGTTCTCCTCTGTCTAATTCACACCCCCTCAAAATATGACAAGTTTTACACATGGAAACGGTCTCCAAAATCTCTGAGATTTCAAAAGTAGCCGTTACTATCATACAGTACGATTTCTAATCGTACAGTACATTATGTATAAATAGACTTCATCCTGGTACGAAGTGGTACGAACAGTTCAAAAACATTCGTCTAGTACGATATTAAATCGTACGGTACTATCCACAATAATTATGTTCGTACAGGATGATAGTCGGGACGATCAAACATCGTCTCTGTTCATCGTATGATATGATGAACATCGTATAGTACGATGAGACAAAAATAAGAGATTGTCCAGGACGATATCCAGGATGATTATAATTCATCTCTGTTCATCGTATTGTACGAATGGGTTCGTACAGTACGATGTTCAAATTATAATTAAGCCTGGATTTCTTGCACTAATCACGGGTTAAATTAAGTAAGTATTTAAAATAAATCATACAGTACGAAGGTGCTCATACAGTACAAGCGAGGAAAAAATAACTTACTTAAGTTAAAATGATGGATAGGGTTTTGGATTTGAACATATTGTACGATACGATATTTTTTGTACAGTGTGATCTATTCACAGAATCGTCCTACAAAGCTCTGATCGTACGGTACGAATTAACATCTTACAGTGATCTATAAAGAAAGAAATACTCTACATTTTACATTTAAAAACGAACTCTCCCCCTGTGTGTGTGTATGGTTGCTCAGACTTCTATGCATTTTGTGGCCAAACTCAAGAAAATAAAAATAAAATAAACAACAAAATACATTGCAGACTCATACTCTTAATTTAACCATTCTCGAGTCTTCCTGTCGTCCTGAGTAGCTTTCGATCTTCCTGAAATATTAGTACTCACGGACAATAGAAAACAAAATAATATTCAATGAATAGATAATTCAAACGACATTATTTGTCATCATCAAAATCTCAAACTCGGGGTCATGGGTTGCAACAAAAATATTCTGGAAAAACTTTTGTGGATGGTCGGGACAAAGGATTAATACCAATAAATCTTGTATGATTTTTAGTAGAATTGTGAAAAGGAGAAGGAAGAAGAAGATCTCTTGGTTAATGGGGTTAAAAATAGTGAAGGAGATGTCATACCTTGGAGTCAAGCTGGCATTGAGTAGGCTAGTAAGAGAAGACTTTCATTTCATAATTGAGAAGGCATTAAGAATGACAAATATATGGGGAGGGAAAATGATTTCCTTACTTCATAAGACTTTGCTTACAAAATCTATTTTGCTAGCTTACACTATTTTCCATTGTACCAACTCTTTGGTTCCTATGAGTATTCTTGAAGAGGTAGATAAGATTTGTAGAATCTTCATTTGGAATAAAGCAAATGGGAGACATGGAATTCATTATTTCAACTGGGAAATAATGTGTTTGCCGATGAAATGGGGAGGTAGAGCTCTTCACTCTTGCTTGAGTAAAGTGAGACCTTTGAGAGCTAAATTAGCTTGGAAGTATGTGAATGACAAAGACTCTTTACTTCACAAAGTGTCTTATCCAAAATATGGAAATTTTTTGGAGAATAACACAAGGAGGACGAGTTCATCAGCTTGGAGGATCATCAATGATGGAGGTAAATCAATGAGGCCTTTGATTAGATGGAATATTGCTAATGGAGTGAATATTGATGTATTCAGTGACACATGAATATTGGATAAAAGCATTTGCAAATGACCAACTTTTCTTATCCCTTGTGACATCAGTAGTTTTACTGTTTCAAATTTCATTTCTAATGGTAGATGGGATGTGGAGGAGTTAAAGAAATATATGGGAAGTGATATGGTAAGTCTAATCTCTCAAGTAAAATTTTTTTCTGGTGTGGAGGAAGACAAGATGGAGTTGTTGTTTCAAAAAATAGGGAAATTCATTTCTTCTATGGTGTTTTAGGTGCCGGTTATGCATACAAATCTGAAGCAGTTATGGAGTTGGATTAGAAAAAACAATTTGAACCCAAGAGTAGAAATAGTATGGTGGAGGATTTTTAATAAAACACTTCCTACTTGTCATTTTCTTGAATATAGAAGATTGCTAAGGGTGAGAATTTGTCCATGGGGCTGTAATGAAGTAGAGGATGAAAACCATGTTGTGGTTAGATGTACAAAACTGAAAGATGTTTTATCTCATCTAGGCAAATTGGGGTTTTCTTTCCTGGGATCAGATTCTTTAACGGAATACTGTATTTGGCTGTCTAAGGAAAATCCTTTCATGGTTAATTTGTATTATAGTGTGGTATTCTTTACATGGAAGTCAAGGAATAAGTTGTTTCATAGTGGAGGTGAAGACAACTCATTGGTTATTGCTTCTAATGCATTGAGTAATGCTTCTATTTCAGCTCATGGAAATGGTAAATTCTCAGGTATATGGGATGCTAATTAGTCTTCTAGGTTGTCTAATTTACATTGGTATCCTCCACCCGATTGGTTAAAGGTAAATGTGGATGCAACTCTTCTCTCTTCTTATAAAGTCGGTATAGGAGGGGTGTTTTAGGATCACAAAGGAAGACTACTCCTAGTTTTTGGAAAACCATTAATTCATTGGGATATTTCTTCATAGGAGCTTTTGGCTACTCAAACAATCAAGGAAATGATTAAGGATTGGATGTTTAAATACAAGGGTATTATAATTGAAGGTGGCAATGTTAACATTATGGAGTTTTTCCAAAAACCTAAGACAAGTGGGGATTCAAGGTATGGAGATGTTCATTTAGTCAATGGCTTCAATAATGTTATTTTTAGTTGCATTGATAGAAGGTGCAATAAGTTAGCGGATTTATGTGCTAACTATGACATTTTAAGTTCTTTTGCTTGGGATGAGTTTAGCATGAATAAGGTTCCTCCTACTTTTTGGCCTTTGTTAAAGGAGGAATCTAATGTTTTCATTTCGTAGGTTGTACTTCTTTTTTTATTTTTAATGCAAATTGCTGCATTTTCTTCAAAAAAAAAAAAAAAAAAAAAGGGGGTAGCTTCCCACAAACCACGAACTTAATAAGTCAATCACTCATACTTTTTTATGTTATATTTGTATTTTATGAAAATGAGATTTGTTTTTATTTTTACATTGTAAGCATCATTTGATTTTGTGTTTTCAAGAGAAATACAAATAAAATTTCATGTTCACTGAAAATAATAGTTTTTAATTTTTTCTATTGAAAAAAAAATCTAATTGCATTTTCTTTATTTTTAAAACTAAGATTTTATTTCTCATTTTTTCTCTTTCTCAAGTGCGAAACTAGAATATTTTTAGCAGTTCTTAAAATTATATTGCAAAATAGATTTTTATTTAATGAATTTAGACAACTGCATTTATAGAATATCGTCAAAATAGTTAAAATATTAATTCTTCTAAGAAAATGATTTTAGTCTAAACAATTCCTCATCCTGAGCGCTTCATGATTTCTCTTATGCTCTTTCTTAAATAAAATTTATTATATGATCCATCTTAATTTATCTTAATATGTGGTTCAATTTAAATTTTCTTCTTTTATATAAAAGGAAATTCGGCTAGTAAAATAAATTTTTTTATTATATTCCATTTTTTTTCAAAAGCAAAAAACAAGATCGAGTCAAATATATGAATAATTTTTCTTGATTATGTGCTACTACGAATTATAAATTTAATAAATTTTAAAAACATTTTCTAATAAAAAATTATGAAGACTGCCTCTGTTTTATTTATTTATAATATTTTTACATAGGCAAGTTTTTTTTTTTTTTGGACATTTAGGCCATTTAGTCAAACTCATACACACAACGCATATACATAGACTCGAATCCTGAACCTCTTAGTTGGAAGCCAAAGCTCTCAACCAATAGGCCAAGAAAAGTAGTGTACATAGCAATGCTTTAAAAATCGGACCGGACCGGCCGGTCCGACCGGTTCAACCGTGAACCGGTCCAAAGGCCGGTTCGGTTCAACCCGAAAACCGGCTTATCTTCAAACCGGCCGGTTTTGTCCAAAACCGCCGATTCAACCGGTGAACCGGAGAACCGGTCACGGTTCTCTTGAACCGGCCGGTTCAAATTTTGTATTTTTTAATATTTAAATTTTAAATAACTTATTTTTAAATATTAAAAAAATATTTGTAATTAAATTTCAAATATGAGATGCTTAATTTTAAATTAAAAAATTCAAAACAAGCATTTCATGAAGGGAAAGTGTAGTACTACTTTCTAGCTCAAGAGCCAATATATAGTAAAAGCTTCACCAAGGGAAAGTCTCCCAAGAGATGTGGGACTAAAAAATTTAAAGCTCATGTGTTTCTTCTTAGCTTTTAAGTTTACAACATACACTATTCATTTTAAAATAAATTTTTTAAATAATATTTTTATGATGAAATAATATTTATTTTTTAATTAATAATATTAAATAAATTATATTCATTATTTTTTTATGTACCATAAATATTAATTAATTAATTTATTATTTATAATAAATGATTTAATTTAACCTCAATAATAAAAAAATATAAGATAATAATATGAATCTAATATATAAATTATAAATATATAACATAAATTAAGGATTATTTATATTAAACTTATTAATTCATTTGTAAGTTAATTTTTTGTTAAATTTAAATTAAATTTAAAAATTTGAATATGTTTAAATTTAAAATTATATAAGATATTAATAATGTTTGAATTCAATTTATTTTTTAATAAAAAAGTTATATTATTATATGATTTTTATATCATTTAAATTGTATTTATTACGTCATCCGGTTCGACCCCGGTTCGACCGGTCGAACCGTGAACCGCTCTCTCTACCGGTTCATTGCCCGGTCCGGTTTTCACAACCTTGGTACATAGACTAGTTTATTCCAATCTTTTTCCATAAAAAAAACCTGAAAATGAGGTCTCCGGCGTTCCGAGCGCAAAAACCACTGGCATTTTCCGTTATGCCGAAAACCTAGCCAGCAAAGACCAATCCGCGCTGCCTATGGGGGGGCTCACGTGCTCCGATCGCCTCCCCGCTAGCGGTGGATCCTGGACGGCAGAGGCGTCGGAGCGATACGCGAGGGAGGTGTTCTGCAACGATCCTGCTTGCGATGAAGCCCTGCGGCTTAACTACTGTGGCAACGAGATCTCGACCGCCAAGTACACTACGATGAACTTCGTACCTAAGTCACTTTTCGAGCAATTTCGACGAGTGGCTAACGTGTTCTTCCTCGTTGTTGCTTTCGTCTCCTTCACCCCTCTCGCGCCCTACCGGGCGGTGAGCATTGCTCTTCCCCTTTTCTTTGTCGTCAGCGCTACTATGGCTAAGGAGGCTGTCGAGGACTGGCGTCGAAAGCAGCAGGTGTTTTTCTCTTGTTCTATTTGCCCTCGGTTTGCTGCTTACTGTGCAAAAGTTGGTTATATAATTTAGCGACAGCTAGAACGGAGTTTGACTGCTCTTGGTACCCATTATACGATTGTCTTAAGATTGTATCTTTTGCCAAACATTTTTTTTTTCAATATTGCCCGCATACTTTTCTATAAGCTTGTTAAATGGATGCTGCGAGTTGAATCTCCAAGTGTAGCCCACAAGCTTCCGTGCTCGAGTTTCAGTCAAAGTTATAGTTACGTGCTGTGATCGTGGAAGCAGTTTACGTGAGAGGCCAAGTTCTTTTTTCTTGTTGCAGTAATTTATCGTTTGTTTTATATTATGCCATTTACATTGGTACTGACATGAATGCTCGTAAATTCTTGTGGGACAATGTTTGTCATACATTTCGATATGAAATCCGCCTTAAGATTTTTACTCTTGGCATATTTATAGATTGAAGGACTACGGTGTAAAAATAGATCTTTGGCGAAAATTACTTTTTACACAGACATTTTTCTTTTGATTTTTTTAATTTGAGATATCAATTTGGTGTTGATGTACTTGTTGGGAGAGATGTAGAACAGTTATCCCACAGTCTGTGTAGAATGGTAAGAGTGGCCTAGTCATTTTTTGCTTATTGTTTTGGAACCTTTTTATTTAAAATGGGCTATGGGTAGGATTAAGGTCGCTGTTCATATTCATGCACCGAAATGTATAAATTAAGAAAAATAGATCCTTCAGTTTGACGGTAACCTCAATCAGATCTACTTCAGAATTGTCTGTAAATGATTAGGAAATGTTAATACTGATCAAATCACACTAATTGCTCAAATTACAGATAACTCAAAATGGTTGCATGTAGAGCATGCATTCTTTGTTATATTGTCCTTAATAAGATTAGTAAATTTATTTGTGTATTATTTACTTATTTTGTAGCTATACATGCATTGTTTTTAGATTATTTTGTTACCAGGTCGTGGGCAAGAGTTAAAGAATAAATTAAGCTACAATTGCTTGAATACAATATCAAAATATCAAAGATTCTGTCTAGATATTTGAGTATAAATGCTTTTTACAAGCATTTTATTAGGTCTGTTGCACCTATGCCTATTTTTAAAGAAAACTCGGTAACATCTTATTCACGGCCTATGGAAGTTATAATAGTGCAAGACTCATGTATGATTAACTTTGATCCAATTGAAGAAATGCTAGTTCATGTTTTTTGTTGGATGATTTTTAAGAAGCAAAAAATAATTTATTGTTACAATATAAATCCACTTCTAATGATATTGAATTTGAATCAACATCCGCAATGCATTATGGCATGAGCTTAAATATACTTGATCAATAGTCAAAATTGGAATATGGAACTAAAATTTAGCGTATGATGAATTTCTTGTGAAAAATGAATTTGTCTAAATGTGAAGATGAATCATTTTGATATATAGTTGATGAATCAAATGAGCAATTTGAGAATGCAAATTTTGATGAATTATCTGATGATATTAAATTTTGCCAAAATAATTTATGTACTTAATTGAATGCACTCTTTGCATATCTATTGTAAACTAGGTGGTAATTTGATAGGAAACAAGTGTAGAAATCATCAAAATAGTGGCTGAAATTTGGAATTTCAACAAGAACACAACATAAATTGAATAAATCCCTTAGCAAAGCAATAGAGAAACTTAATAATTGATGAAAAATGGAAGAAGACAAGAAAGATACAATGGATTTTTAATTAGAGAGGAAGATCCAGCTCCCCCAATCCCTATCCGATAGTTAGAGCCCAAGCAAACCTAGAGAACTCCAAAATTCAGCAAACACAAGCATAACCCTGACCCTAACCTCTTCCCTCCTATTTAGAGAATACAAATAAAATCATAATTACTAAGCAACCCTTCCTAACATAAATTCCATCCTAAATCGTCCCTCATATTTGAATTTGCAATCAAATCATGGGCCCCACAGGGGATCAAACGGCTTGCCTGGTTTTCTTGGAATAAACTGGGGGCCGGCCCTAGTGCTGGGTTGGCTGGACCAGTCTAACAAAATCCCCCCCCCCCTCCAACACACACACACACAAAAGACTCACCTTATCGTCAAGTTGAAAAGATGGGAATTGATGCTTCACCCTCTCATATGGCTCCTAGGTGGCGTCATAGTTAGTTAGGCTCTTCCATTTAATTAGCACTTCCTTGATCCCCCATTCTACTTGTTGTATCCCTTTCTATTCCAGTGGTTCCAACACCACTGTCAAATCCTCCGTTAGTGTTGCCAATAACTTTGAACTAATTGCATGCTCCCGAAGAACTCTCCTCAATAGTGACACATGGAACACTGGATGTATGGTAGTGGTCGGGAGTAACCTTAGGCGATAAGTCACTGTTCCAATCTTCTCCAATATCTCGTAAGGCTAAAGTACCTTGGGGCCAGCTTCTTGTTTTTCGTGTTAGCTACTGTCATCTGTTTGTAGGATTATAGTTTTAGGAACACCATATCCCCCACTTCAAACTAGATATCCTTCCTATATTCATATGCCTTCTTCTTTATAATTTACTGTATCCTCAACAAATTTCTCTTCAGTTCCTATTTCTTTCTTCTAAGTACTGCTCTACTGAAGTGATGGGTGTGCTCCTCTTCCTAAAATGCACCAAGTGTATGGGGTCTCTTCCATGCAACACTTTGAAAAGGGTTATATGGGAAGCTGAGTGATATGAAATGTTATACCTATACTTTACCCATGTTAGCCATTTGGTCCACAACCAAGCTGATTCTGAAGCAAAACATTGCAATTAATTATCTTGACTCCTGTTTATCATCTCTGTCTGCCCGTCTAAGGGTAGTAAGTGGTGCTTTTATTTATAACTGTTCCTTGCAGCCTGAATAGATTTCTCCAACATTGACTCAGAAACACCTTATTTTGGTCAGATATTATGGACTTCGGGATCCTATGCGATCTAACCACCTCTTTGATGAATGCAGTTGCTATTGTAAATGTCGTGTAAGGGTGTTGTAAGGGAATGAAATGAGCATACTTGCTCAACCTGTCAACCATCATCATAATCACTGTAAACCCCTTAGATCATGGTATTCCATCTATAAAATCTATGGTGATCTCCTTCCATACTCTATCTGGAAGAGTCAGGGGTTGAAGTAATCCCCCTGAAGTCATAGCCATATATTTATTTCTCTGACAAACCTCACACCTAGCAACTATCTTCTTCACATCCTTATGTATCCCCTTCCAATACAATTTTGCTGCCAATCTTCTGTAGGTCATCTATACACTACAATGGCCTTCAACAACGCTCTCATGGAACTTTTGTAGCTGGTGGGAAATATAAACTGAGGTTTTTGACAACAAACCTCCCATAGTATAATAGTCTCTCCCCTTCTAGAGAATAGCCAGGGTGGCTATTCTCATCCGTTATTAGACCAGCTCTAATCCCCCTCAGTCCCTCATCTTGCATACTCTCTTCCTTAATGGCCTCCCAATCTAGCATTATGAGTATTGAAATGGCTAGTTCTTGGAGCTCCTCCATACATCTAGATAGGGCATCAACTGCCTATTCTTTAGTCCTGGTCTATATTGGATCTCATAGTCATTGCCCAACAATTTTGATAGTCACCTTTGATGTTCCTCAGTCATCATCTTTTGCTCCAGCAAGTACTTCAAGCTCCGCTTGTCTGTCCTAACGATGAAATGCCTACCCAACAAGTAAGGTCGCCACTTCTAAATGACTAATACAATGACAATCAATTTTCTCCCATAAACTGATTTAAGTCAAGCTCTGGCTGTCAGCACCTGGCTGAAATAGGTTATGGGTCTGTGATTTTGCATGAGAATTGCACCCAATCCATATCTCGAGCCATCAATCTCTACCACAAACATCTGGCTGAAATTAGGTAGGGCCAAGACCAGGACCGTAGTCATGGATGTCATCAATCTCTTAAAGGTCCAAGTGGCTTCCTCTCCCCACAATAAGTTGTCCTTCTTCAGCTGTTCTGTCAGAGGCCAAGTTATAGTATTGTATCCCCTTATGAATCTCCCATAATATCCCTTTAATCCTAGAAAGCTCCTCAGCTCCCTTAGGTTTCTTGGTAGAGGTCATTGCAGCATTGTCTCAATCTTAGCCTGATCAACTGCCATGCCTTCCTAGGATACCACATGCCCCAAGTACTATATCTAATATGTGCAAAACATCATTTCTTCTTATTTGCCCTTAGTTGATGCTACTGTAACACTTTTAAGATTGCCCTTAGATGCTCCAAGTGCTTCTCAATGGTCTTGTTGTACACTAGAATGTCATCAAAGAAAATCATAGCAAACTTCCTGAGGTAAGTTCGGAACACCTTGTTTATGAGGGATTGGAAGGTAGTAGGGGCATTGGTGAGACCAGACGATATCACTAAGGACTCATAGTACCCTCGTGTGTCCTGAAAGCTGTCTTCGAAATATCTTACTCTCATCCATATTTGATGGTATCCATACTTCAATTCTATCTTCGTTAATACAATTGCTCCACAAAGCTCATTTATCATTGGAATAGGAAACTTGTATGACACAATCTCCTTATTTAGGGCTCGATAGTTCACACAAAATCACCAACTTCCATCCTTCTTTTAAACCAGTAGAACTGAGCTAGAAAAAGGGCTCATGCTTGGCCTGATGATCCCTGCCTCTAACATATCTTGGATCCGTTTCTCAATCTCATCCTTCTGGATCTAGGGGTAGCGAAAAGGCCTGACATTGATCAATGATACCCCTTTCCTCAGTGTGATGGCGTGTTTCTGTCCCCTCTATGGTGACAATCCCTGAGGTGGCTGAAAAACGTCACGAAAATGTTGTATAATCGATTTTATTGAAAGAGGGATGCCCCACCTTCCTCCCCTCTGAGGCCCTCCAAACTTTGTTGCTCCATTAGAAATTCTCCTCCCACCTCTTGTATGGCCCTCACCATGATTTTTAGTGACACCATGACTTTAGA